GTCTCCATGCGGCGGATAGGAGGTGAACGACTAAGAGCAACCTTGTGAATCCCTTAGAGGCAGGTATATCGTGGGAATGGACTCCCTATTTCTGCTGCAATAATTTGGCGCAGATCTTCTGTATTTACGAAGAGGTATTCATACATACGTGCATGGGTGTATTTTCGCTCATACGGATTGCATTCTATGAGCGGATTGGGCCAAAAGCCGGTAATCAAGCGAAGGCAAGCTGGCAGCCTACCCATGAGGATACCCAGCAACCAGGTTTATAATCCAGCGGGGTGTACTTAGGTAACGAACGTTAAACACAGTTCAACGCAGAAGAACGTCTGAACAACATCACATTGGAGCCCTTGGATTCGAATGAACGAGCAAAGTCAATGGCTGTCTGAGTTCATCACGGCGACCAAGACCATTCATGGAAACTCGAAATTTCAGAAACCCCACCCTCGACGCTGGGCTTGAGAGTCTCCCAATGGAGAGTAGCATTACCAATAGACAAAAGGATTTCTGAATTAAATTAAATTAAAATCATTTAAAATTTTTTTTTACTGGACATTAAATCGAAGGCTTTGTCTAACCGATATCGCTTTTGTCCCAAAATCTACACGGGGTCATACAATAGTCACTTTCATGCAAGATTTCACTTCTCGTAGAAAACAGAAAAAGCCGTTACATTCAAAGGACGAAGACCCAAAGCCAACGTAAACTGGGGTTTATTCAATTCATTATTCGGGTATTAGGGAGATGCCGTTTCCGATAACATTGACGAGAAATATGATCGGCTCATTCAACGTCTTCACATTAGCGTTATTAAAACTGAGATTTTGAAAGACTCCAAGAGATGTTTGTTTCCAGAAACAACCGAGCTGATTCACGACTACTCAGATCTCTTCAATAGCGACATCCTCTTTCCTTCACATGAAATAAAGGATGGATACGTCCTACCACCGGTTCTTCCTTCCGAAATCTGACATGCTATTTCATCGGTGACAAATCGAACAACACCAGGTCCGGAGAGGATAAGAAAAGAACACCTGAAGAACCTGCTGCCAGTCCTCATAAATACACTAGCTAGGGTGTTCACACGTTACTTGTCTGAATGCAAGCTCCCTACTCAGTGGAAGACCAACGAGACCGCGCTGCTGTTCAAGAAGGGTGACCTCCTCGATATCGACAAATATCGCCCAGTTTGCTTGCTGTTTGTTGTCTACAAACTCTGCACTCAAGTCATTATAAACAGGATTGGCAGAACGCTGGATGAAGAACAGCCATGTGACCAAACAGGGTTGCGAAAACGATTCAGTGCGATGGACCACATCCAAACGATGAAAAGACTCATTGAAGTACAACGGGAGTACAAAAAACCGCTCTATCTCACTTTTATAGATTTAAAGGCCTTTCACTTAACTGAGATAGAAGCAGTATGGAAGGTCTGGACAGTGAGGGAGTCTCTATTCAGCAAATAAAGATTTTTCGAAACTTTTCACATCCAAGATATCACCATACTACGATGATATCAACATCGACGTCAAAAGAGGGGTTAGGCAAGGCGATATCTTCTCGCTAAAATTGGGTACCTCCACAGCCGAGAACATCCTGCGAACATTGGAGTGGATCACATAGGAGTGAAAATCAATAGTTGACAATAACACCAACTTAGCTTTCTTGATGATATCTTTCTTGTAACACAACATATTAGCCAAGTGGAACAAATGCTTGCCGACCTTGATGAAGCCTGTGGAATAGTCGGTCTTCGACTAAATCTAACAAAAACGTTGTTCATGAAGAACGGATTGGTTTCGTATGCCCCATTCACGCTCAACGGAAGGAATACCTCCGAATGCTCCAGATATGTCTATCTAGGTATGTAAATCAACATGACGAACGACTTACTCCAGAGTTGAGCAAGAAGAAGCGAGCGATTTGGAGAGCTTTCAAGAGTATCGAGGATGTAGTGAGGAGAATAAAGAAAATCCGACTCCGTGCCCACCTTTTCGACTCAACGGTGCTTTCTGCCTTAACGTATGCGTCAGAAACCTGGTTGCTGCGTAAGCAGGGTAAAAGATCACTCAGCGTTATTGAACGAGAAGTCGAGAAGACCATACTAGGAGTATCCCGTGTCACACAAGTAAAGGAAGAGATCCGAAGCTCTGACCTGCATCAACGATGAAAAACCAAGGGTCCTGTTCTATACTTCAAACCGTCCAAAATAAGGTGGTTCAAATGCGTGATGCGTATGAACGACAACCGATTGTCAAGAGCCGTAAGTGCCTGAATTCCTCGGGGTGTGAAATGAAGTGCAGGAAGCGGGAAGACCACTGACCCGATGGTCAGAGTTTTTCAGGAAAAGCCTAGAAGAAAAGTATGATGCTCAACGAATCCCTGGAGCGATCAGAACCTTCTGGGCTACTCTTGCACGCGACAGGCGGCAGGTGACTGTTCAGGAATTTGACGAAGGACTCTGTATACGATTAGATTAGATGATACAGGTGATATTTCATTTTAACCACTGTGGCCAGCGTATGTCATGTGTTGATATAAAAACATCGAAGTAGGCTCAACATAGAGTGCAAAGCACCTCCAAGTGTCGGCAGCAATACATTTGCATAACGGAGCATTGCTCATTTATACCCACAGAACGATAGAGCAAAGTCTCTTCAACAATACTGTGAAGTTCACAAAAGTAAAACGCTCTTGTCAGTGAAGACTTATTTTTCTATTGTAAAAAAAAACCACAAAGTCCGCAGCCGACAAAAAATTGCTCGCATCCGCTTCTGCCAAGTGGGACGCTAAACGGCTTACGTTCGTTTGGGGACATTTTCGAACGCGGTGTAGTAGGAGCAATTCAGGTAGGGGATCCTCATGCAAATGAGAAAGGGAATCCGTAGTACCCATTTACGCTTACGGTCGATGTCTACCAGTTACGCCCAGTCAATGCTTAGATGTTGACAATGGTATGGGTCGGAGTGGAGCCGCCCGTAGTTTCACGTCATTGCAAAGGCACAAGAAGTAGACCACCAACCAAATATTCGGCTTTCCTCATGAAGATTCTCAACGAGAAATGGCATGATTTTCGTGAGCTCGAATGGTTGGGAATTGCATCCAGTTCAACTGATTATTCCACGACTGAACTATTACAAAGTACTGAGCGGCTCAACGGTCAATTTATCACTGGTTCACCAATCGCAGCCACCACTGCAATATAATTTTGGTTCATTGGCCGGGAATCTAGCTCCAGAGCTGAGCAGAAGGAAACGAGCGGCTTGGGCAGCTTTCAAGAGCATCGAGGATGTAGTGAAGAGAACAAAAAACACACGAACTCCGTGCCAACCTTTTCGACTCAACGGTACTTCCTGACCTAACGCATGCGTCAGAAACTTTCGGTGCGTAAGCAGGGTGAAGGATCACTCATAGTTACCGAACGCGCAGTCGAAAGGACGATGCTAGGAGTATCCCGTTCCACACAAGTAAGTGTTGGGATCCGAAGCTCTGGATGTCAAACGTACTGCAGGAAGGCCACCGACCCAATGGTCGAGAGTTCTTCACAAAGAGCTTTGAAGAAAGGTATGATGCTCGACGAGTCCCTAGACCAAGCAGAACCCACTGGGCTACTTTTGCACGCGACAGGGAAAAATGGAAAATTTACTGGCTCCCGCCTGAGTCACTCGGCGATCAACGGGACTACAGGTGATACAGGTGATGCAGAATATTGTGCTCTAATAGGAAATGCTTACTGCTCGACTAGCCGACACGGAAACTGTCATTTGACAAGAGAGCAATGAAGACATTGGGTGTGCCTGCACGAGTCACTTGGTGATCAATAACAAAGTAAAAACTTGAAGCTATCTTTGGCTGGAAAACTATCTGGACTTCACGTTATGCCCACATACCAATTCTATCCAATTGGCCAAACTCAAAACATGAAGAAGCTCCTCTTCCCTTCATGTATTTAGTACTTACCATGTAACACACCACTAGCCGACGGTCGCGCTCAAATTGCAATTATTGCGCCATTCCATGTTAAGGTGCTTTCGACCTTTAAATAGGGGAATCGGAGTTCTCCCGGTAAGCTTGCAATTACGAATCATTGTGTTTCTCCGTGTAATCTCCACATACATTCGTTCTTATATATGATCAGTTTTTAGTTAGGATTAAAGTTGTAAAGTAATATAAGTAGTTTAGTTTCGTCGAAAGTTCCAGGACATTTCGAAAACGATCGATGTTGGTTCCTGCGTTTTCCAATTCTTTTCGAGTCTTCAAATTTATATCGTTTAGATGGCGAACATGAATGATCGCATGTCTGGTGCAGAGTACTTAGCTTCCATTTATGGTACAGAGAAAGACAAGGTTTCCAATATTTGTTATCATCGTCATTATTGTTGTGGGAAAAAGTCGTTGATGTTGTGCTTAATTTCAATCAAACATTCACCATACAAAAGCCATTTTCTGTGGATTTGTCCAGTGGAATTAGAGTTTGCGGGAAGATTCGAAGACAACCCAGAAAGCATTATTATGTGGGGTTCTTCACTTGGACACTTGGATGACCCGTGTTCACTAGTTGCGCCGGCCCCAGCATAATTACCATCTATCGAAGATTTGCTGCTTCAGCCACTGTGGTTCCCTGGACTCCTGAGGTCAGCCACGGCAAAGTCTGCCCCAGGTCGTCACTACCACTGGCAGTCGCCGCCCTTGCAGACCAGAGTGAGATTTGTCACCATGCAACTAGTTTGATACCAAGACGGTGGTGAATCCTGGTATTGGATTACTTTTAGCTGCAGTTCCTGATGGAAACGGCAGACTCTTCTCAACTTGGGAAATCTTGTTGCGGGCGAGAATGTTTCCACTGTACATCGCAGCCTGATAACCTGGAACACCTCCTAGCGGCGATGCAGTAAAAAGGAGGGAGATGCTTTTAAATAGGGAACTAGCAAATTCTTTTGGAGCGTTCTCCCTGATATTTTTTCTTCTACATTCGGAAATCCTGTGGTTAACTGTTGTTGTTTCAGGTCAACTGTTCATTTTTCTTCAAGATCGGTGCATGTAGGCATGGTGACAAATGTTCACGTACCCACATTATTCCGACGTTTTCTCAAACAGTTCTTTTAAAGAACTTATACCACAATCCTGTTATTGACATGCGTCAGGCTGACGCGTGTACAAAGGTGAGGTTTCTGTTGTCTTCTGATACAATGCCTCTCAACATCTTTCGAACGTTCCAAGAAGAAACAAAGGCTATTGAAGCAAAGTTTACATATGACCGGCTGGCAGCCGATTTACCTACTGGTAATCTTGCAAGTTGTACTCTTCCTGTGTAGGTTGGCATGATGAATAAGGATGAACAACAATATTTCGATGAGTTTTTCGAAGAAATATTCACCGAAGTTAATGAGAAATATGGAGAGATTGAAGAAATGGAGGTATTTTTTAAAAGGATATTCATGTAATTCATTCTCGCTAGATGTCATTTTTGTGCATGCAGGTTTGTGACAATATTGGTGAACACATGATTGGTAATGTCTATGTAAAATTCGCTCGTGAAGAGGATGCAGAACGATGTGTAAAGGCTTTGGACAACAGATGGTGTGTTTATGGTGTTTTTTGTCTTCTGAGTTCAAACGCTTTTCATTTACAGATGTTATAAACTATTCTGTTTTCGCTAAGGTTCAATGGACAGGCAATCTATGCTGAATTATCTCCTGTCACCGATTTCCGTGAAGCTTGCTGTCGTCAATATGAACTCGGTGGTTGTAATAAGGTCTGTCCTGTTTGTTTTTCGAAATTACGTATATTTTCTGTTGGAGACAAGGCGGAAAATTGTGCTGCGTTTCTAGATTTGCTTCTAATTGTTCTTTAAAATGCGCACCAGTAGTTCATTGTTGTAGTACTTCTTTTCCATTCACTTAAACTCCTTAAATTTGTTTCATATTGGTACTGGTTGAGGACGAATATCCATTAGCTAGTGCTGAAGCAGAAATTTCCTAGTCTTAATGGATGAAAATGAATACTGTATAGTAATTCTTAGTTACTTAAGCACTTAGAGAACCGATCTATGCACATTGCATTTCTTGCAGTCGGATCTCTATCGGGCAACAGATAGTACAGTCCTTTTCCGTGTTTTCTGAGATCTTTTGCGGCTCGAGTGTTTGTCTTGTGCACTCATTAACATCGTGAATCAACATGGTTTTTGAACTAGCTGAGAGACAGGCAAAACGGTGGACCCGGATGGTATGGTGGTGAAGTGCGCTACTCCCCGGAAAGGGCAATAGCGCCCGTTCGTTCCCCACCGCATGCACCTGCGGTCCGGAGTTTTGCAAATATCTCAGCATTATATACGGGTTATATTTCGCAACATACCCTGCCATTAAGAAGAAAAAGGCAGTAAATAAAAGAGTTAAGATTGCAACATGGTTTTCCCTGAAAGCCCTTGGTAGTAGGACTGGGCTTTCTTAAATCCTCACCACATAATGTGACCAGCTTCTGAGGTTCGGAGGATATTTTCAGCTTGCAACAAAGTTTCCTCAACAACCGTAGCCATTACTGCGATTAGATCACCGAATTATGAGCAAGATATACCTGACCAAATCTAAACAAAAGGTCTACCCTTTAGTTTAACTGTCTCCTCTGAAAAACTGGGGTTGTTGTAAAAGTTTTGGAGTGAATTTTTTACATGTAACGCCACGAAATTTTATTTTTGTTTGAAATCAATTCATATGTTTCTTGAATCGTGCGTATAGTTTCAGGGCGCGTTCTGCAACTTTATGCACCTGAAACCGATCTCTAGTGATCTTCGTCGCAAACTTTACAAGGGACGCAGAAGAAGTCCACCACGGTATCATGGTGGAAGAGAAAGGTGGGTTTCACGTAAACTTTTCTAATGTTCTTATTTATTTCTTTTACAACATTTTTGCACGTTGGTTGTGTTTTTCACTGTTTAGCGTCATAAAAAGTGGCGTAGATTAGCGTATAGCATCGATTCCTTTAGAGACCGTGAGATGCGTGGTGGTCGACGAGATTTCGGTGGTGGTCGTGGCGATTTTGGAGGTGGAAGAAGAAGAAGTCGCAGCCCTAGAAGGAAATTCTGATTCATTTTATGTGGGCCATTACAAACAGCTTTTGCGTAATTTTGTTTATTGTTTTCATCGATGCTGGCATAGAAAGATGTTGTAACGTCAACTTTCAATAGTGGTTGGATTCGCTTTTGGATGTTCCCATCATCGTACTTCATTTATGTCAACTTTAACTTGTTCTCCAATAGCCCATTGTTCATGTTCGCCCACTTATCAGCATTGTTACTCTCCAAAATTTTTGGTTCCTCTCTTATTAACATTGATCTTTGTTTGTATAGTAAAATCCAATAGCCTATTCATCCGTCAAGGAGAAATTAATGTAATAGAGGTTTTATCCTCATGTATGCTATTTCTATAAATGTTAGTTGGAGCTTCGTGGGTGGATGTAGGAGGCCAAGTAGGTGTCATGTTTCATGTTTTTGCTTGAACACAAGGCAGTATCTCATCACTTGTGTCCTCCATGACGCAGTTTCCATCATTTCGTTTCTCACGACTTCATTAAGATCGTTCGCATTATAAGTGGTCATGTTAGCGAATATCGTTACAAACGGGACCATCTAAAGGTTTCCGACAGTTTTGTGAACGAAACAAAAGGGAAGAGTGCTTACTAGCATGGGAGCCCTTACAGAGAGTGTCATCCACGTGTGTTCGTGGTTTTAGCTTGAAAGGAATTGGATCTTATGTTGTATGGTCCTGGTGTCAGTCATGACAAAATTGTTTGCATCCACCGTGAGGTGGAAGAGAGTCCTTCATGGTGTTTCGCTACCAATGATTTCGAAGCCCTAAATGAGCGCTGGACATTATTTTTACCCGGGATACGACAATATCCCTTTAGACTGGCTATGTTCTGAATTGGTTCCAACAGTTTTTATTTTCTGGATTGTGACGAGGGTTCTTTTTACAGCTTTAGCATGAATGTAGAATTTGCACAGAGAAGTCGATGATCGGGACCAGTTTGAATCTCCTATTGCTGACATCAGGGTTTGTCGCACAGCCTTCGTTTCCAACATTATGACAGAGTCATCCGATAGAAATGTGATGGACATCCTATTTGTTCTTAGGGATAAGAACTGGATCAAGTAGCGTTACGCCAGGATGTTGTTTTCCGATATGTATATAGCTTGCTCCATTGTCATTCTGGTAAAAAGATAAAGGATAAAGCTCTGGATGTTGATGAGTCTCTGAGAGTGCGCTATGCATTCGACCTCATTAAGCATCGTTGGAAGTGATTGAATGCAAATCTGGCCTTTACAATGACTCGCGGTGAACCCCCGATGTATCGAGCCAGTGCTCCTATCCCCCAGACAAGTGTGGTACCAATTTGCCAACCCCAGAGGGATGGAAGGCTTGGTGAGTCTTGGGCACGGGTACCGATCCCAAGTGTACTGCAGGGCGCCTCCGACCTCTACACTGCGCGCACCCTTAGTACTCCACATCGTTACGGTAATTTTCCTTATTGTAACCCTCCTTATTCCTATTCTTCTCACTCATCTTTACAGAGCTATAACTCTTACTAGAGCACGTCTTTAAATATTTCAAACAGTACTCCTCAGATGTCACGAGGGTATTATATTCCGTTTGCGAGGTTTTTACATAAGGCGCTGCGCCACTATACCTTTCCGATGTCCAATGACTGGCAGTCATACTTATTCTTGAAGAATTACTCTCTATATAAGAGGCATACAGCACGGTTTTCTATTGAATCGAATATGCTGGTTATTCAAGATTTACTTTCACTGAAATTCCGTGATAGCCGTGCTAGGGCGTTGCCAGATTGACACTACAGGCATGTAGTGGCAAGCCCCCGTGATTCGAAGAGGGCTTGACCATTTTGCGATAGTTTTTCTTTTAGGGCGATATCAATGTTTATGATTAGTTGCTACCACTCATTCGAGGGTAGTTAGCTTCATAGTAGTTTCTATCGCAATGTTACAAGTTCTAAACGGGTTACGATGTACCAATGCGGTGCAGACGTCGCTTCTTCTCGCGAATTTTCGTAAAGAAGGCAAGGAAAAGATCATGGTTGGTAAGCTGACAAATATTCAGTGCTTAATGCGGATTATATTACAACAACGCAGGTGGTGGCTGATTTTGACTATACCTTAACTCGGAGACATAACGATAATGGTGACAAAGGATGCCTAACACATGAAGTCTTTCATGCTCTTAAAGATGGCAACGTTGGAAGCACCGTTGCAGCACTGGTGAGCGCTGTCCGTTATTTAACAGAAACTACACTTTTTTAGTTGGTTACCCAAAAAATAAGAAAGGATAAAGCTCTTGTCGTTGATCTATTCCTGAGAGATGCGCCATGCATTCGACTTCATTAAGCATCGTTGGAGGTGATTGAATGCATATCTGGCCTTTACACTGACTCGCGGTGCCTACCGATGTACAGAGCCAGTACTGTTATTCTCCCAGACAAGTCTGGAATCAATTTGCAGACCCGGAGGGATGGAGAGCTTGGTGGGCCTGTCACGCGAGGATCGATCCCATGTATATTGCAGTGCGCTTCCGACCACTGCACTACACGCCCGTTACCCTATAAATCAGTATTCACAACAGCTGAATTTTTTCCTGATTTCTGCTTCTTCAGAGTCCAGGAAGGTCAAATTTATTACACTTTAGTCAGCCAACTACTTCCATAACAACAGAAAAACCAACGCCTGAGTTTTATTCGCGTTGGAAGTAGCTTCTTCAGACGGGCATTGTTCTCTATGACCTTTCCACTCCACTTATTCTAATAAAAATTTCATACAGTTCAGGTTTTCTGTTTATGTTTTGAAAGTATTTGGCTGACTATATTGCAATGAATTTGATTTTTTAAGACTCTGAAGAAGGCGAATATAACTCCATGTTTGTTTATCACTGAAACAGCGACTTATTGATGAGTGCAAAGGTTAATAGGAAGTCGGTCCTGAGAATTGCAAACAATTAGGCTTTATTTTTAGGATAGATCTAGATCTTGCGAGGATTTGACCTAGAAGGTGAAATGTTCGTACTCTCAGCGCTCTTTGCATACTTTCGAGCGCATAAAAACCATTCTCTCAAATTTGCTTTTGTTAGCTAGGGTATTTCTCATTGATATTGTCGGAAGTTTTGGTAGTATCGCGAAATTATTGCTTAATTTTTTAATTGTGTTGTTGAGAATAGGTGTCGATGTATAAGAAGGAAATACTTAGATTCACTTAAGTATGCGTTGTTGAAGTTCTTCCGGATGTCTTCATTCGCGACTAAACTTTGGAGGACAAATTGATCACACACTTTGTTTAATGACAATAGGCTTGTTGTACTTACTAGCATCTTTTTGTTAGCAAATTAAAAACATTTGATCATTCATCAATCTCGAGGAATGCGCAATGCATTCGACTTCACTAAGCTTCGTCGTAGGCGATTGAATGCATATCTGGCTTTCACAATAACTCGCGATGGCCTATTGATGAACCAAGTCAGTGCTGTAATTCCCCAGACAAGTCTAGTACCAATTTACTGACCCTGGAGGGATGAAAGGCTTAGTTGGCCTGGAGCGCGACCACTGCTCTAAAGGAGCCCCATTTGATCAGTATGTAATGTAAATAGGCGATATGGCAAATGCTGAATTCGGATTATTTTTGACGGTTTGCTTAATAGCCATCTAAAAGAGCATTACTAGTAAATATTGACGGTATTCGGTTTTGGTCTTTTGTAGATTAAATTAACACTTATTAGCACGGTAGATTGAATGAGCACTATGAGGAGATGATGTCACATTGCACTTCGAAAGATGACCGTACTTCTGTGGAGGTTG